CTTTAGCCGTGGCAACAGAGTGAGACTCTGTCTCAAAAAAAAAAAAAAAAACGAAAAAAGTGTTTACCTAACTGGCACATAGCGAGTATTCAATGTTCTGGTACAGGGGTATGCAAACTATGGTCCAAGGGTGAAAGTGGTCCTCAACCTGTCTCTGTAAATCAAGTTTTATTGGAACACAGCCAAACCCATTCATCATGTATTGTCTGTGGCTGCTTTTGCAATACAAGGGCCCAGATTAGTTGATATTTACAAGCAAAACATATGGCCCACAAAGTCTAAAAGATTTACTATCTGGCCTTTAAGAAAAAGTTTACTGATCTCTGTTCCTATGAGAGGAATACCGGCTAGGAAATCAGAGAGACCTATATTTAAATCCAGTTCCATAATCACTAGTAGAAATTACCTCATATTTCTGGGCCTCAGTTACTTCTTGTACAAAATTAGGATATTACTATCTACTTTACAGGGGTGTTATACAGACTAAATGAGATAAGGCAAATAATATACCCAATAGAAAGTAAGCAATAAATGGTAGCCATTAAACTGCAATTAATACCACATATAAATTTGCCTATTATGTTAAGAAATACTCAATGTACAGTTATTCAAGGTCTAGACAAATATTTTTAAAAATAAGATACTGTACCGGCATTTATCAACCTTCTCTGTTAAGAAAAGGAATAATAACACACAAGTACTACTGTTTTGGAAGCCAAAATTACTTCTCCTTTCTCCTATGATTTTTTTAGCCCTTAATTAAAAAAAAAAAAAAAATCAAGAAGCCAAGGTTCAAAGTTTTGTTTAATATAAAGCTAATTCCTTCAACCACACCATATAAAAAATGTCAAATAAAGCCCAAAATATACCACAGGCTCTGAATGAGAAATCTTGATCTACAATTAAGAAAAAAAGGGTGTAGGGCTTAAAAGATAAGTCTCTAGATTTCAGTATAGCAACCAGCAATACTTGCTGAGCAGTCTCTAGATGTTCACTCGTGGAACCAGTGTTTGTTGAGCACTTATCATGTTCCAAGCTCTAAGCTCCATCTGTGAACAAGGCACGCTGTCACTAAGAGAGCTCATAAACCTGAGTGCCACTCAGCACCATATAATAAGATTAGAACCACAACACATGGCCCTTGACTATAAAACCATCTATATGATAATAAGTCATATAAGATACTAGAGCCTGAAAGCTCCCAAGTGATAATCTAGTCTAACATCTGCATTGCACAAACAGGTTAACTGAATTGCCCATGAATATAAGCAAGTTGGTAGTGAACTCAATCTTCCTGACTTTCCCCGCACACCAAGCTTTCTTAACTTAGGAATTACTTTACAAAGGGACAAGTCTTAATCTTTCACTCCTTTGTAACCTGCAAATGCTATTCTGGAAAAACTACCTGATCTTCAAAACTCTAAATTCCTTTAGGTAGTGTTAACTATGTTCATCTTCTGTCTTCCCACAGAATTCTGTATATTTCTATTACTGCACACTATACTGTATTTTAACCATTTGTTTATTTATCAGTTTCCTCCCCAATGACTATGAGCTCCTTGAAGACAGGAACCATGCATTGATAATAACCACTAATGTCTTAGTGCTTACTGTGTGGCAGAGGTGTGATAACTTTATACACACTTTCTCACTTAATGCTCATAATAATCAATTATCCTGATATTCTAGATAGGAAATCTGGGCTTGGAAAGGTTACGAAAGCTTACCCACTTTAGCTGACTCTACAGATCACTAATTTAACATCCACCTTACCCAGTCCCATCCCCAATCTCCTCCTTTATAACAGGAATGTGATACTGTTCAAGTATCCATCCTTCTTAACATGGCCACATGCTTCACTCAGAGGAGCCTGGACCCCTACCTAAGACTAGTAGGTTAAGCATGACAGTCAAAAGCAATCATGGACACCCACTCCATTTTCCAGTGGTACTGGGGTGGGCACATAAAGCCATTCTGGCCAATGTGATGTCAGAAAAATCTGCTGGGAGGCTGGGCGTGGTGGCTCACTCTTGTACTCCTAGCACTCTGGGAGGCTGAGGCGGAAGAATGGCTTGAGGTCAGGAGTTCAAGAAAAGTCGGCTGGAGAACTTCTGAGAAAGGTTTCCTTCCAAGTAAGAGACACAAGAAGATACTCTCCCTCTCCCTGCACATTGCTTTAACTACTACTGGACATATTTATTTGAGATATTAAATTTTCTTCAAGTATCTATAGATCAGTGAAGTCAGTTTCCCATTACGTTGCTAGAATCATCCTAATATGCACATAGAAAAAGTGGTAAATCCATAACTGAAACACAGACAAGGTGATTTCACAGCCCTCAAAAAGGTAATGACTAGACTCTATCACATTTCATCTCTTCAACATTCCTACCATCCAGCACCAATGCCAAGCACATAAGAAGCAATTAACTATAGCTAAATGAATAGATGGGTGAAAGAGAATTTTAGCTCAGCTTTTAAAGACAGGTAAGATAAACTTTATATCCAGTTGTAAGTGAAATATTAAGGCCCTAGGTAATGCCCTTAGCAAGTAGAAAGCCTGACTGTTCTTAGATGAGACTGAGTAAAATATTTAGAAAACAGTCTATGTAAGAGCAAACAAAGGGATCCTATAAGCACCAGTTTCTAAGTCCAAACCAATCTCAAAAGACTGAGTCAATGAAAAAAGCACAGCAGATCCTGTTTCTGTATTCCCCTTTTGCAACCTCTATAGCACCTATTAGTAGTCATGCAAACTTTCCACTCTTCCTTCCATCTTAACCTTGATCCAAATGGCCTACCCTCTAGGCAAACCAGAAGAGAGGGTGGCAGGGAGAGGGAGGAAGGATGAGGGCAGAGAGAGGAATGAAACTTCTTCAACACCTCACATCCAGCCTAGTTTTTACTCATGAAAGCTCAGTCATTGAAAGTTAAAATGGTCAACCTTGGCCGGGCGCGGTGACTCATACCTGTAATCCTGGCACTTTGGGTGGTTGAAGCAGGAGGATCACTTGAGCCCAGGAGTTCAAGACCAGCGTGGGCAACACTGTAAAACCTCATCTCTACAAAAAGTAGAAAAATTAGCTGGGCATGGTGGTACACACCTGTATTCCCAGCTACTTGGGAGGCTGAGACAGTAAGACTGCATGAGGCCAGGAGTTTGAGGTTGCAGTAGGTTCTGATGATGTCACCGCACTCTAGCCCAGACAAACAGAGCAAGACCTTGTCTCAAAATAAATAAATAAAAAGGTCAACCTTCACAACTCATTTGGGCCATAGGAGCCAACCCTACCCCCACCCATACTCCCATCCTAAGGGACACGAAGAGCCTTGATATTTAGAACCTGAAGGATATCCTCTAGGCCATTACACCACAGGTCACAGAAGTGCCCTTGACAGTCCATACTATTTCTGGCTTGGTACCTGGGCCAGCTTCACAACAGTGACTTGAAGGTAAAATTCTCCACATCCTATTACCAATTTGATGCCCCAGAGAAAATCAGTGAAGACATCTATTATTCATGAAGGGCCACTCACCAACTTCACATGACCTATTTGCTGCAAGACACAAAATACACTTAAACTTCACAGCTATAAATGCTTGTAAACTTTCCAGAATAAAAGCTTCTCCTTATCTGTTCACTTGACCTTCTCTCAAAGTGCTAAAGGATTTCTTCATCTCCGACAAAAATCAAAGAAAACTACTTGCTCTACAATGAAATGTCCAAAAGCCACAACCTAAAATGAGTGTCTTATTGGAAGCCAAAGAATCATGTGGATTGCTCACAAAGGATTTTTTTTAAGGACCAATTTTGATTCACCAAAGCAACCCAGCCACCTACAAGAGTGCCTTCTAAAGCACAGCTTACCTTGTAATTGCTAGAGTTCACCCAAGAGGTAGCGAGTCCATCCACAAGTTTATCTAACATGGTCTGATCATGTTCAAGGTCAGCAGACTTCTGTTTGTCTGAGAAATAGTCTATAAGTTCTTGGCCAACTTGCAGTCGTTTCCCCACATCCTTCTGTAACACCTGTGCCAGGCAGGACTCCATGCGAGGCTCCATGGTAGAATTCAAATCCAGATTCAGCAAAAGCTAGAGGGCAGTCAGGATGACTTCCTCCCAGTAGATGTATCTGAGAGGTTGCCTCTTTGTTCGCTGAAGGTTACTAAGAGCCTGTGTTTCAAAGATGCAATCCGGGGAATGGCAACAATGCACCATGTGTGTCTGAAGAGCAGCTGGTAGGATATTAAAAGTCCAATTTAAATAACTAGTAGGAGATAAAGGAGTGAGTGGCAGAGTGACATTCTACTATTGGGTCTGAAATACTTCATAATTCAGCAGTCCATTCTGAAAAGTAAGAGAAGAGAATGACAAATCAGCACAGATAACGTTAACACTCAAATGTTATGAAACATTAAATCAAAGACAAAGGGATTCATGCCGCAGAATCATTTACAATTGCATGGAGTGAAAAGCATGAACGCTTGGCAACCGTAGCAGAATAACATCATTATTATTTTTATCAGGAAGAACATCGAAGCCCAGAGAAAAGAGCCAATGAGCTAAACAGTTGGTGGGTTGATATTTTTCACAATTCCCCAGCTTGTATTATAAAGGCCCCAGTCAGGAAAGCAATCTTCTGCTTGGCTGGCATATTTATTTGTAGCTTAAGCTCTGCTTCCCATCAAAAACCTACCATCACTCTGTGTCTGAATCACTGTGGGTACTGCAGCTTATCGTCTTACTCACACTTACTCACAGTCTTCAGAAAAACCAAGTACCGGAAGTCGGGCAGGCTCCACAAAAACATCATTGACCAAACTGGCTGGCTTTTTACACATTAGCCAAAATCAGGTGCAGCACCTACATCACACTTCTTGCTTAGCAACTTTCAGGAGGCTGAGGCAGAAGGATTGTTTGAGCCCAAGAGTTTGAGGTTGCTGTGAGCTAGGCTGATGCCACGGCACTTTAGCCGTGGCAACAGAGTGAGACTCTGTCTCAAAAAAAAAAAAAAAAACGAAAAAAGTGTTTACCTAACTGGCACATAGCGAGTATTCAATGTTCTGGTACAGGGGTATGCAAACTATGGTCCAAGGGTGAAAGTGGTCCTCAACCTGTCTCTGTAAATCAAGTTTTATTGGAACACAGCCAAACCCATTCATCATGTATTGTCTGTGGCTGCTTTTGCAATACAAGGGCCCAGATTAGTTGATATTTACAAGCAAAACATATGGCCCACAAAGTCTAAAAGATTTACTATCTGGCCTTTAAGAAAAAGTTTACTGATCTCTGTTCCTATGAGAGGAATACCGGCTAGGAAATCAGAGAGACCTATATTTAAATCCAGTTCCATAATCACTAGTAGAAATTACCTCATATTTCTGGGCCTCAGTTACTTCTTGTACAAAATTAGGATATTACTATCTACTTCACAGGGGTGTTATACAGACTAAATGAGATAAGGCAAATAATATACCCAATAGAAAGTAAGCAATAAATGGTAGCCATTAAACTGCAATTAATACCACATATAAATTTGCCTATTATGTTAAGAAATACTCAATGTACAGTTATTCAAGGTCTAGACAAATATTTTTAAAAATAAGATACTGTACCGGCATTTATCAACCTTCTCTGTTAAGAAAAGGAATAATAACACACAAGTACTACTGTTTTGGAAGCCAAAATTACTTCTCCTTTCTCCTATGATTTTTTTAGCCCTTAATTAAAAAAAAAAAAATCAAGAAGCCAAGGTTCAAAGTTTTGTTTAATATAAAGCTAATTCCTTCAACCACACCATATAAAAAATGTCAAATAAAGCCCAAAATATACCACAGGCTCTGAATGAGAAATCTTGATCTACAATTAAGAAAAAAAGGGTGTAGGGCTTAAAAGATAAGTCTCTAGATTTCAGTATAGCAACCAGCAATACTTGCTGAGCAGTCTCTAGATGTTCACTCGTGGAACCAGTGTTTGTTGAGCACTTATCATGTTCCAAGCTCTAAGCTCCATCTGTGAACAAGGCACGCTGTCACTAAGAGAGCTCATAAACCTGAGTGCCACTCAGCACCATATAATAAGATTAGAACCACAACACATGGCCCTTGACTATAAAACCATCTATATGATAATAAGTCATATAAGATACTAGAGCCTGAAAGCTCCCAAGTGATAATCTAGTCTAACATCTGCATTGCACAAACAGGTTAACTGAATTGCCCATGAATATAAGCAAGTTGGTAGTGAACTCAATCTTCCTGACTTTCCCCGCACACCAAGCTTTCTTAACTTAGGAATTACTTTACAAAGGGACAAGTCTTAATCTTTCACTCCTTTGTAACCTGCAAATGCTATTCTGGAAAAACTACCTGATCTTCAAAACTCTAAATTCCTTTAGGTAGTGTTAACTATGTTCATCTTCTGTCTTCCCACAGAATTCTGTATATTTCTATTACTGCACACTATACTGTATTTTAACCATTTGTTTATTTATCAGTTTCCTCCCCAATGACTATGAGCTCCTTGAAGACAGGAACCATGCATTGATAATAACCACTAATGTCTTAGTGCTTACTGTGTGGCAGAGGTGTGATAACTTTATACACACTTTCTCACTTAATGCTCATAATAATCAATTATCCTGATATTCTAGATAGGAAATCTGGGCTTGGAAAGGTTACGAAAGCTTACCCACTTTAGCTGACTCTACAGATCACTAATTTAACATCCACCTTACCCAGTCCCATCCCCAATCTCCTCCTTTATAACAGGAATGTGATACTGTTCAAGTATCCATCCTTCTTAACATGGCCACATGCTTCACTCAGAGGAGCCTGGACCCCTACCTAAGACTAGTAGGTTAAGCATGACAGTCAAAAGCAATCATGGACACCCACTCCATTTTCCAGTGGTACTGGGGTGGGCACATAAAGCCATTCTGGCCAATGTGATGTCAGAAAAATCTGCTGGGAGGCTGGGCGTGGTGGCTCACTCTTGTACTCCTAGCACTCTGGGAGGCTGAGGCGGAAGAATGGCTTGAGGTCAGGAGTTCAAGAAAAGTCGGCTGGAGAACTTCTGAGAAAGGTTTCCTCCCAAGTAAGAGACACAAGAAGATACTCTCCCTCTCCCTGCACATTGCTTTAACTACTACTGGACATATTTATTTGAGATATTAAATTTTCTTCAAGTATCTTTAGATCAGTGAAGTCAGTTTCCCATTACGTTGCTAGAATCATCCTAATATGCACATAGAAAAAGTGGTAAATCCATAACTGAAACACAGACAAGGTGATTTCACAGCCCTCAAAAATGTAATGACTAGACTCTATCACATTTCATCTCTTCAACATTCCTACCATCCAGCACCAATGCCAAGCACATAAGAAGCAATTAACTATAGCTAAATGAATAGATGGGTGAAAGAGAATTTTAGCTCAGCTTTTAAAGACAGGTAAGATAAACTTTATATCCAGTTGTAAGTGAAATATTAAGGCCCTAGGTAATGCCCTTAGCAAGTAGAAAGCCTGACTGTTCTTAGATGAGACTGAGTAAAATATTTAGAAAACAGTCTATGTAAGAGCAAACAAAGGGATCCTATAAGCACCAGTTTCTAAGTCCAAACCAATCTCAAAAGACTGAGTCAATGAAAAAAGCACAGCAGATCCTGTTTCTGTATTCCCCTTTTGCAACCTCTATAGCACCTATTAGTAGTCATGCAAACTTTCCACTCTTCCTTCCATCTTAACCTTGATCCAAATGGCCTACCCTCTAGGCAAACCAGAAGAGAGGGTGGCAGGGAGAGGGAGGAAGGATGAGGGCAGAGAGAGGAATGAAACTTCTTCAACACCTCACATCCAGCCTAGTTTTTACTCATGAAAGCTCAGTCATTGAAAGTTAAAATGGTCAACCTTGGCCGGGCGCGGTGACTCATACCTGTAATCCTGGCACTTTGGGTGGTTGAAGCAGGAGGATCACTTGAGCCCAGGAGTTCAAGACCAGCGTGGGCAACACTGTAAAACCTCATCTCTACAAAAAGTAGAAAAATTAGCTGGGCATGGTGGTACACACCTGTATTCCCAGCTACTTGGGAGGCTGAGACAGTAAGACTGCATGAGCCCAGGAGTTTGAGGTTGCAGTAGGTTCTGATGATGTCACCGCACTCTAGCCCAGACAAACAGAGCAAGACCTTGTCTCAAAATAAATAAATAAAAAGGTCAACCTTCACAACTCATTTGGGCCATAGGAGCCAACCCTACCCCCACCCATACTCCCATCCTAAGGGACACGAAGAGCCTTGATATTTAGAACCTGAAGGATATCCTCTAGGCCATTACACCACAGGTCACAGAAGTGCCCTTGACAGTCCATACTATTTCTGGCTTGGTACCTGGGCCAGCTTCACAACAGTGACTTGAAGGTAAAATTCTCCACATCCTATTACCAATTTGATGCCCCAGAGAAAATCAGTGAAGACATCTATTATTCATGAAGGGCCACTCACCAACTTCACATGACCTATTTGCTGCAAGACACAAAATACACTTAAACTTCACAGCTATAAATGCTTGTAAACTTTCCAGAATAAAAGCTTCTCCTTATCTGTTCACTTGACCTTCTCTCAAAGTGCTAAAGGATTTCTTCATCTCCGACAAAAATCAAAGAAAACTACTTGCTCTACAATGAAATGTCCAAAAGCCACAACCTAAAATGAGTGTCTTATTGGAAGCCAAAGAATCATGTGGATTGCTCACAAAGGATTTTTTTTAAGGACCAATTTTGATTCACCAAAGCAACCCAGCCACCTACAAGAGTGCCTTCTAAAGCACAGCTTACCTTGTAATTGCTAGAGTTCACCCAAGAGGTAGCGAGTCCATCCACAAGTTTATCTAACATGGTCTGATCATGTTCAAGGTCAGCAGACTTCTGTTTGTCTGAGAAATAGTCTATAAGTTCTTGGCCAACTTGCAGTCGTTTCCCCACATCCTTCTGTAACACCTGTGCCAGGCAGGACTCCATGCGAGGCTCCATGGTAGAATTCAAATCCAGATTCAGCAAAAGCTAGAGGGCAGTCAGGATGACTTCCTCCCAGTAGATGTATCTGAGAGGTTGCCTCTTTGTTCGCTGAAGGTTACTAAGAGCCTGTGTTTCAAAGATGCAATCCGGGGAATGGCAACAATGCACCATGTGTGTCTGAAGAGCAGCTGGTAGGATATTAAAAGTCCAATTTAAATAACTAGTAGGAGATAAAGGAGTGAGTGGCAGAGTGACATTCTACTATTGGGTCTGAAATACTTCATAATTCAGCAGTCCATTCTGAAAAGTAAGAGAAGAGAATGACAAATCAGCACAGATAACGTTAACACTCAAATGTTATGAAACATTAAATCAAAGACAAAGGGATTCATGCCGCAGAATCATTTACAATTGCATGGAGTGAAAAGCATGAACGCTTGGCAACCGTAGCAGAATAACATCATTATTATTTTTATCAGGAAGAACATCGAAGCCCAGAGAAAAGAGCCAATGAGCTAAACAGTTGGTGGGTTGATATTTTTCACAATTCCCCAGCTTGTATTATAAAGGCACCAGTCAGGAAAGCAATCTTCTGCTTGGCTGGCATATTTATTTGTAGCTTAAGCTCTGCTTCCCATCAAAAACCTACCATCACTCTGTGTCTGAATCACTGTGGGTACTGCAGCTTATCGTCTTACTCACACTTACTCACAGTCTTCAGAAAAACCAAGTACCGGAAGTCGGGCAGGCTCCACAAAAACATCATTGACCAAACTGGCTGGCTTTTTACACATTAGCCAAAATCAGGTGCAGCACCTACATCACACTTCTTGCTTAGCAACTTTATAATGGGTTGAGCAGTAGCTCCTGCTTCCTTCTCTCCATAAGAAAGAAAAGAGAGAGACAAAAGGAGAAAGGAAACAGGCTCACATTTTGATCATTTATTGACAGAATATTCTCTGCTGACAATAGCACCATTTGGGCCTGATGTTTTGTTATAAAATCAGAAGATTTCAAAATCATGTTTAGGTAGGGCAAAACACATGATATGGGAAATGTACCAAAACTGTTTTAACCACACAAATTGTACAAGCTGTCTAGTTAATCTATAGCTACTGTAGCAATGTACACATTTATTTACTTCAATTTCTTCTCTCCTAAAAGCATTACTCAATTACTCTCATTCTAAACCAAGATGACCCACAGGAAACCCATCTTCAAGATGCAGCACCTCTCTGATACTATACTAAATAGAAGTGTTCTTCACACCAATAGTTCTTTACACTCTAGCTTTCAAGGGTTCCAGCAGGTAAATCTGTCTTTTATAAATCAAGTAAAATTAAAAATTCTGGGTAAGGAAATTCTTCCAGTCTAAACACAGCAGTTCTCTCTCTTTCTAATAGGACTCCATCCCCACCCCTAATCTTAATATTTAAAAAAAAAGATGCTCTGAGTTATAAAATCATAGCATTTCTGGTGGATTATACAGCAAGTTTATCTTCTGCAGAGAGGTGCCTTATGTTTACATACAAGAAAGAAAGAAAAGGAAACCCAGATATTCAACCTCATTTTCCTCTCACAGAACTAGGCCCCATGTCCTCAGCAGCATGATGCAGTGGTTCGGTGTCGTTATTGGGGACCAAATATGTTGGGATCATGAAGGGTCAGACTAGTCAAAATCACCCAGGCTTCAAGGTGGAAGTGATAGATTGTTAGGGCCAAGAGATGAGCTGTTGTCAGGCAGGTGGCTGACTGAAGGTGAGCAAGAGATCAGCCTGGTACTGGGACAGCAGCAGTAAGGCCTAATGCAGTGTCACATCCTATCCTGTCTGCTGGTTTTCCTTAACCACCTGCTGCTTGCCAGAGAGGACCCAGGCTTCTTCATGGCAGCCCCTCAGTGCTAGGTTCTCCACAATGACAGGCTGCACAGACTCCACTTGCATAGCCCAAGCCCCCTGCACCCCACCAACATCCTCAAAGTGGTACCATGCAGCCACTTCACCCCACACATGGGCCTGCAGCTCCACAAGTTCCACAATCAGGCTCTGGTCTAACACAGGATGGCAGAAAACCATTAATGGGCCTGGGAAAAGGTATCCCTGAACAGTGGATAGTCTTTCATGGGCTTCATGAGCCTGAGACAAGGGCATGGACATTAGAGAAGTGCAAGAGAAACCCACATGGGGCCACATGGCATCACCTCCCTAGATTTAACATCCACCACTGGCACATCTGGTCTTGCTTAGCTTCCAGATCCATTCTCACAAACTTTTGATACCAATAGGAATCACATAAGTCAAATTATTCAAAGAGGAAAGCCCCAGCATACAGTTACCCATCTTCTACTTTGCAGCTTCTAAAAATGAAGGGGAGTGAGGGACGGATGGAATTCAATAAGACTTAACTATCTCACTGAGCAGTCCTTCCTTAAATTGAGGAGATATCTGCTTTCTGGTCATTTCCACACTCTGGAACTAGTCCCTCCTTCAAAGGAAAGATCTACAAATATATAAAAGCAGCTATCACCCTTCATTCCAACTTTTAGTCTAAACATAATACCTCCAGTTCCTTAATCAGGTCTTGTGTTGGACTAAAGAAGGTATCAATAATACAGGAAAAGTGCAGAAACAAATAGAACCTCTTCTTTCTGGGTTCAATATTAGTCCAACAAGCAGAGCAAATATCAAGCTGTGGTAGCTTAAAAATGGCCACAAAGTCTTTGCTACTCCTCCCCTATCAAGGTAGAATCTAAGTCCCCTCCCACAGTGACTCTGGGCTTGGCCCTGTGAAATGCTTTGGCCAGTGGGAAATCAGCACTATAAAAACAAGCAGAGACTTGATATGCAAACACTGGAGTGTGCCTTCTTAGAATGCTGTGCTGGGACAGCCATGCTGTAAGGAAGCTGGTTTAGCCTACTGGACAAGAGAGGTCACATGAAGGAGAACCAACACAGTCTGACCAACAGGCAGCAGCTACTGCCAGACATGTAAATGAGGCCATCTGGGACCATCTACCTGTTCCAGTCACCATCCAAATGCAGGTACACAAATAAGTGTAAGGAAACAAGCAGAAAACCACACAGCCAAACCACAGAATTATGAAAATAACATTTCATTGCTGTTTTATTTAAGCTAAGTTTGTGACGGTTTGTTGGATAGCAATAGATACCGGATACACTCCTACTTCCCTTAAACCATCTTTCATTCTAAGTGAAAACACTCTCAGCTTTTATTCCTTCAAGGGGTCTAAAATCAACAGATGCTAACCAGTAACAATGAAAATAATACCATTTTAAGTATATACATGAGGTGTCAAGTTCTATGCTAGGTGATTTACACATACTACCTCTAATTCTTCAACCAACTGTATAAGGTAGGTGGCTAACATTCCTACATCATAGATGAAGAAATTGAGGTACAGTAAGGGTAAGTAATTTTCCAAGGTTGCATGGCCAACGAGTTTCCTTTCCCCAACTTTGGACCCTTATCATTATAAGTCTGGCCTAGTTCTGTTTGGACTCAAGAAAAGGAGGTCAGACTTCATGCTTAGCTAGAAAGAAATAGGCAAGAGAGCAGGGTCTCCATTCCTTAAGTAAACACTGGGAAAGATCCCATTCGTACAAATCTCTGTGATTTTTAAAATATATAAGAAACCTCACCTCTTCAATTGGAATTGTATAAGATTTTCAACAAATAAGCGTATGCTTCTTGAAGGTAATTATGCAATAAACGCTTAGCACACTCAAAAATAGGCCATAAATTCACATGAATGAAACTCAAAAAATGAAAAGAGATTAGAAGTCCTGAGGAATTAAGCAGACTGGGTTCTCTCTTTTCTCTTTTTCTTAACTAAAAAAAAAAAAGTAACTATTCTCTTTCACATTTACTAAACTGGGTTTTCTGTACCCCTTTCCCATGCTTTTGAGTGATTTTCCATTTTCCATCTCTACTTTCAAAGGTATTCAGGGAATATTAATCACATAGTTCCTACTGCACAAGGTACAAAAGTGCAACACCTCCTTCCCACCCATGACCCCTAGCTATCCAGTTTCCCTCCTTAAAAGCAAATAATGTCACTGGTTTCCTATGTATACCTGCAGAAATATTTTTGGCTATCTAAGCAAATAAGTAGTTGTGTTCTCCAGGAAGAGTTTCCTGAGCATTTGCAATTATAATAAACCATAAAAAGAGAACTCAAAAACAAAGAAAAATACAGGCAAAATTTCATATAGCAAGAGCTTTAAAAAAAGTTTATATTTAAAATGCAGAAAACTGAGAAAATAAACAAGAAGAAGTAAAGGAAAAGGATTTAGAAGAGTTGGAGAAGGAGAAAGAAGAGTTGAAAGAGTTAAAAAGGAGGAGGAAAAGAAGTTGGAGGAGGCAGAGGAGGAGGAACTACAAGAAGAGCTTCAACAAGAATGAAGAAACACACAGTAAGACAGCTTGATGTAATAAAAAGAACAAGGAAGTTGGGAATTCTGGCCTCTGGTCTTGACTCTGCCACTTCTTGAGTGGCACTGTGGAGAATATTGACTCTACATGCATTAAATAAGATCAGGCATAGAAAAGGGCTTGCAGAGCATTTTTTAAAAATAGCTCCTATCTGCACCCCCTTAATTAACATATCTATCCTGTGGCACTCAGGTACACTATTAATAGAGAACTATTAACAATGGAGGATGGGAGGGAGAAAAGAATCAACTATTAGCTCTGCAATGAATGTCTTAGTCTACTGTAGACTTCTCCATAAGAAGTTAAAAGTAGGACAATTTTTACTTAGTAGCTTAAAACAAGAGTTAATACTTCTCTTTTTTTTTTTTTTTTTAAGACAGAGTCTCACTCTAATGCCTGGGCTAGAGTGCCGTGGCATCAGCCTAGCTCACAGCAACCTCAAATTCCTAGGCTCAAGCAATCTTTCTGTCTCAGCCTCCTGAGTAGCTGAGACTACAGGCATGTGCCACCATGCCCGGATAATTTTTTCTATATATATTTTTAGTTGTCTGGCTAATTTTTTTCTATTTTTAGTAGAGACAGGATCTTGCTCTTGCTCAGGCTGGTCTCAGAGACCTGAGAACAAGCAATCCTTGCCTGAGAACTAGCAATCCTCCCACCTTGGCCTCCCAGAGTGCTAGGATTACAGGCGTGAGCCACTGCATCTGGCCAATACTTCTCTTAAGTCTATGAGTTGGCTGGGCTCAGCTGGGAGGTTCTTGTGCTAGTCTTGCCCCGGATCATTCATGTGGCTGCAGTCAACTGACAGTTTGTGGCCAAAGACTCTCCAATGGCATCACTCACATATC